GTCAGGTCATCGTGTTCCGAGGAATCGGTCAGTGTGCTGGATCAGTCTGATGACCATAACGTATGCCTACTTGTGATTGGAAATATGCATGCTAAATGATGGATGACATATGGTGAGTCTCGTAATCATGGAAAGAGGCAATTGTGTAGTGTTGACGACCCATGCCCATGACAATGACGAGTCGCATGTCCACGCGTGTCGGGTAGGCATCGTCTAGCCGAGGCCTCTCTCATAAGTCACTCATCTTGCTTGTCACCTTTCCGTCTAGACTCCATAAATGATTTGTTTGTAACAAAAAAGTACACTTGAGCTTGTTTCCACTCATCTCAGTTGCTGCCGTTGTTTAATTTCACAAAACATCCGTGACCCGGTCGAATTCGCTCTCAGAGCCGGCCCGTCCCGGGAGCGTAACGCGAGGCGGCTCTGGTCGCCTGACCATAACATCCAACCCCGTTCCTTTCGGGAAACAAGCAAACCACTCGTGATAGGCCTTCCAGTCTTCATCTGTTGTGTTATGGAGCGACATATCAAAGCCTACATGTGGGCTAAACAATCGTGCGACCGTACAGTATAGGTCCATAGTGGCGAGTTCCATGCCAAGACACAGTCTCGTACCGCGACCCCAAGGGATCAAGTAACGATTCAAAGCCTTGCGCTTCTCTGGCATCGCCCACCGGTCTGGAAGAAACTCCTCCGGACGTTCGAAGATGTTTGGGTCATTATGTACGTCTTGGCAGGTGGTGGAGATTGTTGTCTGCGTGGACTATCAGTTCTCGAGCGGCGCAGACAAGAGGGAAGTTCCAGACTTACGCCTCTGGGTATCGTCCAGTCCTTATACTTCAACTCTTGATCTGGGCACTCTCGAGGAAGCCGAGAAGGAGTCGGGTTAGCAAGTCTAAGGCCTTCATTGACTACGCCGGTGAGGTAGGGAAGTTCTTTAAGCTTCGAATAGCTCAACGTAGTTCCCATTTGTTCTTCTGCTTCGCCAATTTCGTGCTTCAGTCGTGCTACTTTGTTGGGATCCTTCAGTAGACAAGCTGTGATGCACACTAGGACACTAGCAGTTGTTTCGGTTCCTGCCATGATCACACTGCGAGTTTCTGAAAACAGCCGCATAAACGTCTTTTCTTCGGCGGGAAGAGGTGATTCTAGCACGGTCTGCACCATGTCGGGACTGCTTCCCGCTGCTGACTCGGGCTTGTTCATGGAGCGTCGAACGCAACCCGCCATCATCTGAGGCTGTGTCAGTTTCCAGCTCTGAGGGATACTCTCGGCCATCCTTCAAACTCTTACCTCCATCATCCACTTGACGCGTCGGAAAGCTGGATTCATTCTCATGGTGATGCTTTCGGGGATGCTGTGCATGAGAGGGAGGGCAAGCCCGTAGGTATGTCGACTCAGCATACTAGCCCTAACAACAGTCCTTACGCTCAGGTTGAACTCGTGGTCGAATGTTGGCTCATCCAGGTGTCCGAAAGGCTTGCCAAAAGCGAACCCGGTGGCAACGTCGGTCGCGAGACACCTGAATGCATCACTTAAACTGACCACACGCCCATCTGCGGACCTCAAACGCGCGCACAGCTTGTCTACCTGTGCTTGTGTAGTGGGAAAGTACCGTTGGATATTAGTCGAAGCGAAGTAGGCTGATAGAGGCGCACGGCGCTGCTGATGCAAGGCGTGTGATTCGGCAGAGTTTGTGCTGGGGAACATGCCGAAAAATCGCAGATAGAACCATCTCGGCTTCGCAGCTTTTGACGAATACTTGTAGACAGCATTCCAGTCCGAGTCCGCGATGTGGACTTCCCATGGATTTATGCGGACGATGGGGCCTGGCCCAGTCAGTTCACGGTGAAGGATGGAGGCGTAGTGAGGTGATATAGTCAACGCAGCCTACCATATATTCTATGTAGCCTCTCTATCTCTACCCAGTATCTGCCGCCTCCGTCCTTGTAACAATCAAAGAACGATTCATATAAGCCTGTCGCTGCTGCGAGTTTCGGGCCGGGGATAGCAGCGAGTGGGTGAAGCATGAGGCGATATACGACTACCAGAACAACCGTGAGAAGAGGACTAATTGCGAGAATAGTCCGGAGGGGTTGGAAGCCCAAACTATATGACAGCAAGGAGAGCATCGTGAATGATTGACATGCATGGATGTCATGGACCAAGAGGCCAGTCAAGTAACATTGGGTAGTATGAGTGTGTTATACTTATACAAAGTGTGTGGGGAACCCAAAGACGAGCATGGTCCAACCTCAACTGGACTTGTTGGCAAGCTGAGATCGTCCGGGACTTTGCATTAGGCTGGATTCACGGACCGAAACATGCAGCCGCCTGCCGCACACTATCAAACTACTGTGTAGGTCCGTGAACGGAGACAACCATCTCACAAACGGCCGTTGTAGACTACCTCGTATAGTATTCGGACCCTAGCCTTGGAAACAGCTGCAGATTTCCAGATGTTTGGGCGCTCCTGTCAGTAGATCGATGTGGAACTCCGTACAAGTCTGGTGAATTAGCGGAAACAGAGTCCATCCTATTTGAAGTTTACTGAGACGCTATGATGGTGTATAAGGTTTGCTGTAGTGGGAATCTAGTCAGGGCCTTCATGTCATAACTAGGTAACAAAAGAACAGTGACGATGACCAAGGCTGGCGCTAACACTGTTGGCGTCTATCCTCCTTGCATAGGATCCACCAATCAGCATAAGAAGAAAGACATCGGCTGGCAGAAGCTTGAGCATCTATGATACGTCGGGCCGGAAGAGAATGGAAAACAAACGGAGCTTCGAAATCTGATCCCCCGGAACGATTTCTTTCCCCGGTACAGGAAGTCAAGATGCTGTAGGGATGATCTATACCCTTTCCTGGGTTTGGCACACAAGCCTCGTATTCCTATATAACCCCAAGCCAATACGTAAAGGAGGGTTCATCGATTCAGCTATGAGCTATTGTCGCCGTTCGATTCCCAAGTCAGGGAAAACATCGATAAGCCATATCGACGTCGCCGTTCGGTCAAAAAGATACCTTTACCCGACCGTCTGATATATGCATCATCCCTCCAACTCACGAAACCACAAGCTACCTGCCGCTGAACGGCGCAAGAGATACCATCCGACAGACTTGACGCCTAGAGTTCAGTATCACCTGAGTGATTTGACAGCCCACACAACTAAAATTTCCTGGGCCGAATATTCGGCCACGTTAAACTGCATGTCTTGCGTCGTCTCGGAGTCACAATGCCATCATAGCAAATGCGCCTCTTAGGTATGAAGCTGGGCACTAACGCTTATGAGGCTCAAGCGCAGCTAAGTAGGGGTTCCTGGCCAGCCGCGTGGTCAGGAGATTAACGGTCTTGGTCGAGCAGGGGATGCCTGTTACAAATAGATACTGCTTGGCATGAGGCTCACTAAGTGAGACATGAGTAACCAATCACGTAGTATCTCTAGAAGTAGTGGTGAGAGCTATTTCATAACACACCAATGGCCACTTACGATGTCTTCAGCTCCTCAACAAGAATTTGAGCAGTCACAATCCTGATTGGAGTTAGCTTGTGTTTTGGTCATTCTGCATGATGCGGGCTGCTCGGTTCCCTCCGGCGCACCGTTGAAGCCATTTTTTGCTGGGGTAAAGCCCCGTCGATGATCTCCGGCTGAGGGTTCTGCTGCGTCGCTAGAACACAAGTGTTCACAATTCATCTATTCCTCATCTGACGTGCATCGGGGTGGCGTCCAGCATGCACACATGACACGAGAGCCGCGGGACGCTCTCGGACTCCTTCCCCTTCCGATAGAAGTCTGAGGGAATTACTTTGTCGCCGTGATGGTACCCATGTCGTGAGATTTATCGGTTGTTGATAAGCGACCTAAAACACGGCCACAATCATAAAGCAAGCAACTACTAGGAAGGCTATGGCTTATTCAGATTGGCATTGCCATGTTCAGCCGCTCTCTTGTACTGAACGTTGGCATTGGATGAGATTGCGAAGCCGATAGGCCCAGGATTACCAACGATAAAACCAGATGCTCTCCCATACGTCTACAACTTCGACGTCGTTGCCCCCGATACTTGACCGATTGTTAACGTACCTTCCAAAGCAAGAGCGGCGGGAGAGGGAGGACTCGCTGACTCCCATGTCGGACCAGGACCCCGATATGGACAGATTGCTCCCCCGGAGGCGGCGACAGCCTCAGGTTCGTATACAAGGCCGTCTAGCTGCTGTGAAGAGCGTATCGGTGGTGAATCTGAGGTTAGCGGTTCAGTCGACTTCGCAGCGAAATATAGCCCGGCTCGACGCGGGTGTCGGTAGCACGTCGCGGCGGAGGAGGAGCTTGGATGATGGTAGTGAAGTAGAAGAAGACACGGAAGATGTCGAAGACAGGGATACGCGATTGAGGGGATATGGTATCGGAGGGGCGGGCAATATCCGTACGTCTTGGTCTGGACCTCGAATTTGAGACCATCAAGTTGATCAGATACTTGCAGGCCGGCCGACAGATGTCATGGGAGCTTCGTCGAGAGGGTCTTCTCTCACTTCGCTATTCTCGAGGTCCACTTCAACGCCTACTTCGCCTCGTGGGCCAAGTCCGGATAGGAAAAGATGGTATCTGGCCGAGTTTCTAGGACGGATTGGAGACAGGAAAGGGAGGGGAAAATGACTGCGTGAGTATTGAATGCGTGAGATGTATCGCGGGCAGATTCATAAGATGCGGGACATGCTCCCAGGAAATACAGGAATTCAGCCGCAGGGGAACGAATACAGTTAGGCTTGAAGCTTATGACTCCGGTGATGCCGCCGTGCTCGTATGCAACAGTAGGGGTTTTTGGTGTAGGTCAGGGTTTTGGCGCAAATCAAGGCTGGTTGCATTAGTTGCTTGGAAGCATTGTCGTATCCCGTCGGTTGCCAAGTCACCAAAACAGAGCCCATTGATTCCTTATAGCATGGACAAAACGTTCTGAGGATCAGGACGAGTGAATTGAGCGATCGACATGCCAGGAATTCGAGCGATACCTGGATCGAACAGGTGACCTTCCGGACTGGAATCGGATGCATTTTCCACTGTGCTAATCGCTCAGCTGATTTTACAGTTATATACGTTTGGCTTATGGTTGATCATGTCTTGTTGTACTGGACTAACTCGTTTCTATACGCGCATCTCATCCTTTGTTCTTTGTATTACCTGTCTCCAGATGTACTTGACCAAGTACCGGGATGACGGATCGAGTAAAAGCCTCAAAATGGTTATGTGCTACGGGCCATTGTGTACGAGTGCTAAGCTCGGGTATGGCATCTGGATCAGCCTGGAGCAACGAGATCGAGCCACGTACGAGGAGTTTGAGGAAGCCTACGTCCCTGTAATTTCATCCGTGCCTACACTCTCCTTCCATAGCTCATCGAAGTCAACACCGTTCTTTTGGAACAAGTCCCTGACTTGCTGTGCGACCGCCTCCTGCTTCTCCGGGCCGAAGCCATCGGGTTGTGTTGCCTCGAACTGGATCACCTCAATCCAGCGGAAGAAGAGGTCCTCCTTGCCAAGAGCCGCGAGCGCATCTCTAAACAGGAAGACCTGTCTCCTTCTCTCGTCCTCCGCAGGATTGTCGCCCTGCTTCATATCAACAGCCAACCAGCCGTACTCATCCTGGTGGATCAGAACCACAAGTCTGAATGCATCCAGCGCTGCCATTTTTTTGTCCACCATGGTCGAAGCGTCGATCATGACACCCCAGTCGAGGTCCCAATCCTTGTTCATGAGTAAATAGCCGGTCTTCTCCTGGAGGTACATCGGGGCCGTCGCCACACCCACGTACGCCATGAAGACCTGTTTCGCATCGTCGTTGTTGATGACGTCGCGGACAGCCTTGTCCCAGGCTCGACTTCTTCGCACGATGATCTCCTTGTCTCGGAAGCCGGCGTTCCAGCGCCAGTGAACCGGGTTGCTGTGTGCCTGACCAAAGGCGAACTCAAACGGCCACGGCCATACGAAGACGTAAAGCAAGAGATCTATCATGAACTGGCCCGAGCGCTTCGCAACTATAGGCAGGAGCTCCTCCCATTCCATCTCAGCTGCTACCAGAGTGGTCTCATTGGCGTAGCCGAGTGTAGAAGTGACAAGACGCAGGTACCACGGTAGGATGTTGTACATGCGCCAGACGAACAGAGAGGTGATGGCCAGGTTCATGAGTACCGGAACAACGAAGATCTTGCGTTTGAAGTTGGCGGGCTTGTTGTCGATGTGCAGGATGTACACATGCTTCTCATCCAGGGTCTCGATGAGAGGTTGCAGAACCTCAGAAGGGGTCTTGAAGGGTGCTGAAGGCCCGACGTCCTTCTTCTTGGAAGCATTGGGCTTGACGCCTTTTCTTTGCTTGGCCATGATGCACGACTCAAGCTGGTGTTTCCGCGACAGGTGACATTGAGAAGTGAAAGGACCTTGAACTTGAAGGCAAGATTTCCTGAAGATTTCGAGAACCCTGAAATAGAATCGTGGCGCCAGCTCCGGCCCCATGTGGGTCCCTGTGGCTGTCTATTTAAACGGGCCAGTTCCGCGCCGATGACCATTGAATTTTTGAACATGGGGGTGGACTCGAGCTTCTGTAGCAGCCTGCACTTCAAGGTCCGGAAGTCGCAAAGGGATTTGTGACGGACATCTACAGTATGTTGAGAAGGGGTATATCACAGGTAAGTCCAAGCCAATGCACTGTTCACTTCACGCGACCAAGCTGATGCTGTAATCTTAGCAGCGCAGTCCTTCCGTCTGCGCATTCTGCCAACATCGACTTTCATGGCGACGAGCCTGTAGTCCTCATCGGAGACTCCTGTCAAGTACGAAAAGCCTTCGCGACGATGACTCGAGTATACCGGGTCTTCCAGGATCGACTAGCACAAACGGGATATCGACGACAAACTCATTCGCTGTAGGGAGTTCTGGCTGGGGAAAACCACTCTTCGGCGGTGGACGTAGTAGCATACTTCCAGAGAAGAAGACACATGCAGATGGTGGAGCGCCGAACAATGCAGTATCTCAGCCTCACCATGGACTACTACCACACGAGACAGAAGCACGCAACCGACTCGCCGCCCAGGAAGCTGTACCAGAGCGCAGTGGCAAGGCGGCGCAAGACCGAGCTGCACAACCCTTCGATGCACCGAGGAAGCTCTGGAATTCGGAAATGCAGCAGAAAATCTTGGCGAACATCCACAGGGAAGAGAAGGAAGCACGGGATGCAAAACCTGGCAGAAAGACAGCTGGGGAGTCACTCACAGGCACGCCACCGATTCATATACCTTCGCAGCAATCGCCCCTGATGATGAAACCATTGCTTCCACTCTCATCAACTGATAAACCATCAGTAATAGAGGACACTGAGATCAAGGCGTCACCCCTAGCACGACTGGCGGATGCCAGTTTCTTTACAAGGAAACCTGCAGAGGCAAAATCGAAAGAGGAACGGAAGAGTGATACCCGGGTCGGTACTGATGTATCAAAAGAGAACAAGAAACCGAAAGACCGGCCTGCTCGTACAAGTTGGGGTGAAGGTGATTTCGCGAAGGTGAAAGGCCCTGAGCTCATGGATGATAACCAGTTCAAATCACTACTTCCTCAATCGAGCGCCCGAGTAGAGAAAGGCGAGCAGGGCATGCCGAGCACTGGAGATTGGGGGATGAGTACTTTCGCTAAAATGAAGCCCTCTGGGATATCCGAAGACAATCGCGCAGCTAGTCGTACCGCTCAATGGAGTAGTCTATCGTCAACCCGTGGATCTCGGGATCTACCCTCAGCCCCCAAGATAAGAGCATCGAAGGTGTTCAACACAGGGCTCGACGATTCATCCCAAAGTCCAGCCTCGGACGCAAGTACTCCTAAAAAATGGAACGGAGAAATCAGACCCGTCGGCCGAGGATCACTGAACCATCGTGATAATGCCATCTATCAGACTGATAACCAGCCAAGGGGGCTGAACGACAGTGTGTACAATATACCCAGAGAAAGGACAACGCAATCGTGGCCGCCACCTGGTCCCCTGTCGACACGAAGAAGTGACCGTCCATATGAAACCCCGCGGACGTTCCTTTCACGGAGGCAACAAACGGAGCCTGGGAACAACAGTTTTTCTCGACCTCCAGAAACGACGATGAGCACGCATCTGCCCTCGAACTCGCCTCTGAACTCGGCAGAGTCTTGGGGCTCTCTGGGAAGAAAGCAACAACAGGGTAAGCCAGGTGGTGGGGACTTCTGGGCCGTGCTCGACAAGAAGGCTCCATCCCCTTTAACTCCTGCAGAGTCGGTGCCAGAACAATCACGGTCAGCGCCGCCGGACGATTGGGGCAAAGAATTTGATGATCTTCCCCGCATGAAGCGGCAAACACAGTCTAAGTTTTCAAATGAACCGGGTCCCCGGTCTCGTCGCGAAGACCGGGGGACCAGAGAAACTAGCGCTGCAGATGATTGGGAGATAAAGCCAGCATCGCAAGTGCCAACAGTAGTTCATGAATTCGTGAACAGGAACCAAAATGATCCAGATCGCGATGACAGGTTTGAGATTCACCGAGTGAGGGCTAAGGATCGCAAGGGAGGCAAGCCACGAGGACAACGCAAGGCGAGGTACGATGATCCAGGAGAGGAGGGTGATGGCTATGAGGAGTGGTTGGACAGACCCAAGCATAAAAAGCTACGCAGGGCTATACGAGAAGCCGAAAGAACTGAACCACGACCTATCACACTCCCAGAACTCATCAGCATCTCCCACCTGGCATCTGCTCTGAAGGTAGACAAGAGCGTTTTTATCGACCAATTGGGTGAGCTTGGCTTTGAGGGCGTATCTCTGGACAGCATTATGGCCGGGGAGACGGCAGCTCTTGTTGCCCAAGAGTATGGATTTGAGCCTACTGTAGAGTCTGGCGGAGAGCAGGATCTCAAGGCCCGACCTCCACCGGCGGATCCTTCTAGCCTGCCTCCCCGGCCTCCGGTCGTCACCATCATGGGACACGTCGATCACGGCAAGACCACACTCCTTGACTACCTACGGAAGTCGTCCGTCGCGGCACAGGAACATGGTGGCATCACACAGCACATTGGTGCTTTCTCCGTCAAGATGTCCACTGGTAAGCAGATGACCTTCCTTGACACACCCGGCCACGCCGCCTTCTTGACAATGCGTCAACGAGGCGCCAACGTCACCGATATCGTCGTTCTCGTTGTTGCCGCAGACGACAGCGTCAAACCACAGACCATTGAGGCTATCAAGCACGCTCGAGCTGCCAAGGTACCCATCATCGTGGCCATCAATAAGATCGACAAGGAAGGCGCGCGTATCGACCAGGTCAAATCGGATCTCGCGCGCAACGGCGTCGAAATCGAAGATTACGGCGGTGATGTCCAGGTCGCGTGCGTCTCGGGCAAGACGGGACGAGGCATGGAGGACCTCGAAGAGAACATCCTCACCCTCTCCGAGATCCTCGATATGCGAGCCGAGGACGACGGGCCCGCAGAAGGCTGGATCCTCGAGAGCAGTCTTAAGCCCATCGGCAAGGCAGCCACAATTCTCGTCAAGCGCGGCACCCTCAGACCGGGCGACTACATCGCAGCCGGCATAACATTCGCCAAGATCCGCCACATGCGCAACGAAGCCGGTATCGATATCGACGAGGCACCACCCGGGACCCCGGTCGAGATCCTCGGCTGGCGCGACCTCCCCGCTGCCGGCGACGAGGTCATCCAGGCCCCTGATGAGAAGCGAGCGCGCTCTGCCGTCGGCTACCGCGAGGGTCTGCGCGAGCGCGAGAAGGACGCCGCGGACCACGAGAAGATTTCCGTGCAGCGCAAGGCTCTGCAGGAACAACGACAGGCCGAGAAGGCTACCGAGGGTCATACCAACAAACGCCAGGACGGCACGTGGGGCACAACCGAACAGACGCCCGACACGGAGGGAGGGGCCAAGATGGTCAATTTCGTGGTCAAGGGCGACGTGCACGGATCCGTCGAGGCCGTCTGCGCCTGTATCCTCGAAATTGGCTCACACGAAGTACGGCCGCGCATCTTGCGGTCTGTGCCGGGTCACATCACCGAGAGCGAC